CTCTCTGTGCTGTTTTTCTTTCCGTACGCGTTTGCATGGCGGGAGAAAAAGGTGAATTCGGTGGAACCGTCCTCGTTTGGAGTTGACCCGGGTTTAGTCAAAAGCAAGGCTGCGACGGGGGCTTGCAGCACAAGTCACTTGCCCAGAGCCAAGCCTACTCTGCGGAGTACAACTAGGAGGCTTAGATCAGCTTTCCAGGGAGATCAGTACTAAAATTCATCGACTTGATGGAAACCAGAGAACTGCAGCCCAGCTCCATCTATCCGAAGAGCTGCTGGAGAGCTGTTAATCTTTTAAATGGCAATAGTCTATTAAATATTTACATTACTTGTAGAGGTTTTGGCCCAACAGCTGGAATTAACACAACTTAAATCCTGGCTCTAGTAGCTAAACGGTGCTGTGACGAGGCCATTTAGATCGTATCTGTAACTCCGAGGAGGGCATAAATTGCAATATGTTTTTTTAATGTCTACCTAGGTTATAGCAAGAACATTCACACCTGCTGCTCAACAAGAACACAAGGACAAGCCAGAAACTGAAAGTGTCCTTCTGCCTCTCATCATCTTGGGCAGTTTTCTCAGCCCCAAGGAGCAGCAGTGAGACCAAACAATGCAGCGAAGCCTCAGGTGGCTGCAGGTATCTACAGAGCTGCCATTTACACCCCCTTTTATTAGATTACAGGAACATAGAATCACGGAATGGTTTGGGGTGGAAGGGACCTTAAAGCCCATCCAGTCCCACCCCCTGCCATGGGCAGGGACACCTCCCACTAGCCCAGGTTGCCCAAAGCCTCATCCAGCCTGGCCTTGAACCCCTCCAGGGATGGGGCATCCACAGCTTCTCTGGGCAACCTGGGCCACTGCCTCACCCCCCGCACAGGAAAACATTTCTTCCCAATATCTCATCTCAATCTCCCCTCTTTCAGCTTAGAACTGTTACCCCTCATCCTATCCCTGCCCCCCCAGCTCCAGAGCCCCCCACGCCCTGATAAAGAGTGGAAGACTGCTCTAAGGTCTCCCCGCAGCCTTCTCTTCTCCAGGCTGCACACCCCCAACTCTCTCAGCCTGTCCTCGGATGGGAGGATGGACAAAGCCCTGGAAGACAACTATGAAACTCCTGAGCTAGGAGAGGCTTGCCTGGAGGGATGGCCCACGGGGGCCAGGCAGCTCGCAGGCTTTACCCAAAGCCACACTAACATCAGCACGAAACCAGAGAATCACCCTGATCCATCAGCTGTCGACCCCCAAGGATGGCCGGGAAAAATTCAATTCTTCACTGCACCGCAGCACGCAACAGCTCTCGGGGCAACAAAGATAACACCAAACAACTAAAGGGACAGCTCCCTGTTAGAGCCGGGCAGCAGCTGCTGCTGCCGGCCATCTGTGCTGCGAGGGATCTGGGCAGCCATGGCCACAGAGGTCCTCCTGGTCTCCGCAGCGCTGCATCTGCTGCTGCTTCGTGTCTGTTGGGATGAAACGCTTCCTGGTACTTTAACCGAGCCTCCTGGACAGTGTCTGTACTCTTGATGTGAGTCACTAGGGAAGAAGGCCAAGAAGAGGAGCTGCGGGACGACGCACACCCCCTGCACCAGGCATCAGCCGCTCCGGGTCTACCTGCACCTGAAGGAGCGTTTGGTTTGCTTCAGCCGTTCACCTGCAAGCGCTAGCGGTGGAGAGGAGGGAAACCCCCAGCCCCAAGTACCCCACGATGTGCAAGGCTCTGCTTAGGTTTATCCAGCCTAATTCCAATGCTGCCAAACCCCATAAATTTCTTCCTGAACACTCCTGAAGTGGAAAATATCCTCTATTTTGAAGAGCATTCTGGGACTAAATTTGAAATACGCTTCATGTGCACAGCTACGCTGAAATTATTTTAAGCCTCTCCAGCCTCCCAAATCCAATCTCAGGGTCCTGCACATGTCTAACGTCAACGCCCGGGATGCTTGCTAAGATGAACCCTCCTCCCGTCACCCGATAAGGTTTCCCTGGGAGACTGAAGTTATCTTAATCTGCAGAAAGCCAAACTCAATGCTTCCCTCCCTTTTATTATTCTGTGACTCAATGGTTAAAACTAAAGACTTTCCAGGACATGCCTTTTTTTTTTTCTTTTCCCCAAGAAAGCTGCTTCCACGGACTGTTAATTACAGCCTATCTATCTCCATAAAAACTGCTGAAGAACGGCTCTTCTGAGCCTATCCAGAACTTTTAATTACCCCCCCAAGTATCAGATTGCGACAGAAAACAACCTGGGCATGCTCTGCAACAGGCAACCAAACATCCTCCGCTCCTTTGCTGCCCAAGCAGCGCTTTCAAAAGGTGGCCTCAAAGCTTCAAGATTTCAATTTTTTTCTCTTCACAGAATATTTTTTGCAATGCTGTTGAAAATGCAGACATCTACCTCTCCCATCTTATTGCCACTTACTGGAAAAGATGCTCCTGAAGAGGTTTTTTTTAGTTATATGACAAGAAAGAAACATATTTTAAGCTCAACTGAACAATATCACCCCATCTCCTGCCCTCACACAAAGGCATCAACCTCACCTGAAAGCCTAGAAACATGCACAAGTCCCTTCTAATGTAAAAAAACCCTTTTACTTTAGACTAAAGTCTGGGATTAACTCTCTGAACCAGCACTTTCCAGGGACCGTCCTGCCACCACCACCCGTGACGCTGCATCTCCTGCCAACCCCGCTGCCAATGCCGCTCAGTCCTGCGCAAGTCTGGGAAATGGGACACGCCGACAAGCAGCTTTCCAAGATCCTCCTGCAGCGAGGGCTCCTCGACCTCCCCCGGTTTAAACTGCAGCTGACCTCCCTGCTAATGACGGATGGACGAAGCCATCTGCCCCGGGCTGGCGAGCCCCAGCTGCACACCCAAGGTGATACTGGCTTCAATTACCGCAGCTCCCAGGGCGCCGGGGAAACGCGCAACAGCACAGCCCATCTGCTGGCTCTGCAAAATGACATCTAGCTCCTAAGGAGAACATAAAACACATCACCCTAAATGCAGCGGCCAGAGATCCCGGCTCAACCCCGTCCCCTCTTGGTCTTCGAGAGGGGGCAAACCTTGCAGCACAGCCTGGGTGCAAAAAAAAAAAACCTGCCAAGAACAGACCCGCACCGGGACGATGAGTTCCCAGCTAGTTCTGCAAATCCCAGCAGAGGCAAAACAAACCACACCTCCAAGAACAGAAGGTATCAGCTTTGTTGCTTCTCTACTGATAAAAGTGTATTCACCCATTGGAAGGTTCACAAGTGTTTATACTCATTCCCACACACCAAGCCCTGGCTTAGGATTTTTTTTGCGTCAATATTTCTGAAAAACTGGCATCCATTGATACAGAAAGAACAAAAATATGCTACACAATATCCACCTTCCTGCTTAAGAAGCTGACATTAAATTGGGCAAGTGATGAATACACAGCACCCTTCGATACCTGCAGGGTTTAGGAAAGATCCATGTCCCAGCTGGAACAAAAAAAAATGATGCACAGCAAGATAATTTTAGGATATTTGTGAAGGAAAGACGATGCTACAAGTTCTGCCTATTACATACAGCACTGGCACAGGTCAGAATTCAAACCCAAGGCTCAGTCCTGCAAATATTCAGCGTGTGCAACAGTGATTTTAGCAAAACGCTGCTAATTCTTTGAGAAGCAAAGGCTGGTTTTTTGGTTCCACTGTTAATTGGAGAGAGATGACAGAGTCATCTAGGGATAAAGCGTCCACATCAAAAATGAACTGTCACCAGTGCACTCGTGGCTGGCTGCTGCGGTGAGAAACCTTGAACATCACACGGGGCGGAGGCTGCAGCAGGGTTTCAAAAGCCTCTTGTGTCCGTTTTGCTGAGCGGCTTCAAGTCCCTTACTACAGGATTAGATTATAATTTTAATAACCTGCTCACAGGCTGGGTGCGTTGAAGGGATTTATCTTGTCACGTTAACAGTCATCTTCCTGTCAGCTGCCTTGCCTACAGCAAAAAAAAAAAAAAAAGCAAAAAAGCAAAAAGCAACCCCCCAAGCCCCGCGGGGGTGTCAGCACTGGCCAGCCCGCGTGTTTTCTGAGCAGGGATGTAACTTGAGAGAAAACGCAGGGCGATGCCAGAGCACGGCCCTTCCCTGTGCTCCGGTGCACCACGGGAGAAGGGAGGTGGCCAGGAGAAAAATGCAAAGGATTTACGAGATGTATTCACACTTATCTGCAAACGCTGCAGAAAGCAAACGTGGTTATTAATAGCAGCTGCATTTTTAAGTGGCAAAACAGGACGGAGCTTTGTCCCAAACCCGACAGTGGGATGCTCTTTGCAGGAACCCAGTCCCATAGTCCAAAAAAAAAAAAAAGAAAAAAAAAGAACAAAAGCGTGTCCCTGGCTGGTCGTACAGGGGCTGGGAGCCTGCTCTTGTGATGTCCCCCCTGCAAAAGGATCTTGGGATAGCGGAGGCTTTTCCTTTCAGCCCTCTCCCATTGAATCCAGGGAATGCGGCGAGCACGGAGCCAATCGTGGCTCGGGTCTGCAGATGGATTAACCAAAGAGCCGGGCTGGGTTGCTAAGCGAGGCACCTTGGCGTGGCAGGGAGGAGGGTTCCTACAATGCTGGTACAGAAAAGCCACATCCAGCATCCACGCAGGGCCAGAAAGAGCCTCCGGAGAAACAAACAGCCCGTCGGGAACGAGAAAATGCAGCAGCAAAGGAGATAAAAGCTCCAGACACACAGAGACAGCCTCCCCCCAAATAAAACCTCCTCTGCCCAGAACAAAAGTGCCATCGTGGAGCTTTGCAAAGCTCTGGTTTTATCCCCTGTGCTTCTCGTTATCTTTAATTATTAAGCGTCACGGGAAAGCAGCTGCCTGCCTCCTGACAGAGGGAAAACAAGAGACGCAGTGACTACTTCAGGGCTGTGCAACCCCTCCCCTATCTTTAGAAAAAGCCTTTGCCACCGCTGCCTCCCCCCTTTTCTGCCTTTTTACCGCTTTCTTTTTCCACGTACGTGTGGCCGCAGCCGTTCCTAATCAACTTGAAATGATTTTTCACGACGGAGGGTTTCCAAAGGCCTAAAGGGGTTTTGTTTCAAATCATTCCCAGATCAGCTGCGGAGAGCGTGAGCAAGAACAGGCATCGGCCGTCTCCGGCGTGTTCGGCCATGCAGCAGGAAGCAGGGGATAAAAGCGAGGCTGGGCTGTAACTGGAACGGGGCATCCGCAGTGCTGCAGGAAAAGGGGGGCCGGGATGGGGATAAAGCACACGCCGGCGTTTAAGAAATGCAGAGTTATTTCAGCCATCAATACGGAATGCCTGTTGCTTTCTGTGAACGCCGCGGATTAACCGTATGCTTATGATTAAGGCATTTTATAGCACAATAAAAAAAAATTTAAAAAGCGCAACATCCTAAATTTAGGGGTGCTTCCCCCCCCCTCCAAATCCTTCATGCATTTGAAGTTTTACACAGTCTTTGCTCAACATCTTCTGTTTATAACACTAGAAAGAGGGATAATTGCAAGCACCTTATAATGATTAGTTTTCTGCTTTGAACTTTTATGATGGGCGTTTGGGAGGATTTTAAGAGTTTACTGAAAACATCTTAAACTTTAAAGCCAAAAAAAAGCTGCTATGCAATATTATTGATAGTCCAAAGCTGAGTATTAAATTAAAAATAACACATATGAGAGCAGAACCTGGTTTACCAAAACAGCCAGAATGCATTAGCCAAATTGCATCACGGGATTTGTACAAACTGGCTAAAAAGGACACATCAGCCTCAGGTTTGCTCTAGATACTTAGACATCAGGGAAAACACAGTCCCCGAGTCGCAGAGCCGATTCTCACCGCTCCATCGTGAGCTTTGTCTCCGGCAATATTGCATCAGCCTCTCCTGCAGTCAGCAACGCCTTGGCCAGCCGAGCCAAAGCTCGCGCGGGCTGCAGAACAGGCACACGAGGACTTCTGGCCAAGCAGCTTACTGCCAAGAGCTCCTGGCCCCTGTTCATACCCTCCAGGGGTGCAGGGCACGATTAGCTCTGGAATAAGCGCAGTGACAAAGTGATTACCGCCTGCTGCCCCGGACGCTGCTGACCACAGCCCGGTTGCAGCTTGTCTCCGAGCCAGCAAATCTTACAGCAGTGCTTTTAAATTAGACTTGAGTCTGATTACAGCATAGGGACAAGATTTTAACTAACCTTTTATTATGGGAAATTTTGCAGCCGTCTGTTTTACCCTCTCAAGATCGTTTGAGACAAAGACTACCAGATGCAGCAGTTCCTAGAGGACTGTCTTTAATTTGTTTTTAACCCAAGCTAATGAATAGGTTTACTTACACTTTCGCAAGAATCATTTCAGACTCAGAAAACGTTAAACATCTGGAAAAGAACAAAGGTTTCCTATTTTAAAGAAACCTGAATTTTTGCTGTAAATAACGGGGAGTTAGACCCAAAGCAGATCCTTCACCAAGGATTATCCAGGATTATCTGCAGCCTACACCCGTGAAACGCAAATGGACGAGCCAATGGTACTGTGACCATGCCACTGGTCTGCTGTGAAGATGGTTCCAGTGAGACTGTACGTGAATATACAAGAAACCAGAACAAAAGCATCTGTGTCACCCTCTGGAAGCCAGGCTTTGTTGCCTGGCTCCCCGTTTTGCAGCAGGGAGAGAAGTGGCAGCTCCTAAGCAACAGGCTGCAAATTCCACAGATACCCCTTTCCTACACGTACAGCATCAGCTGTCCACTGACTTCAACACAAGAAATTGAGCCAAAAGAGAAAACGGAGTTGAGAAGATGCCAATGCAGCCGCCAGCAGAGCTGGGACAGGGCAGTCCCTTGGATGGACATTGTCCCTGCCAAAGAATGAGACACTACTGATAGAATGGCCTTTCGCTCTTTTGTATCCCCAAGTCAAGATCCAAATTCACCTCCCCTCTTCTCAACCACCACGTTAACTCCTGCTTACACGTCCCATACGAGAGTCCCGATCAGCCAGGACTGGGTGAGTGTCACTGAGCCCCTTACCAAGGGGGACAATGCACACAGGTGTCCATCACTTCAGCCTCAGAAGCCAACAGTCGAGTTTCACATCATTCCTTGCACCGCAGCGAGAACAGCCACCCAGCTTCACCTCCCCAGCCCACCACTGCTCTGTCAGCCCAAAAAAACCCCCAAAAAACCAACCACCAACAAAAACCCCAGAGCAGGCAATGCCAACTCTTTGCTGACGGTGGGAATTTTTTTTCTTTGCCACAACATTGGTTAATGAGAGAGCTGCAAAGCGCCTGGTGACAGTGCCCTCTTTGTGCTGCTCATTTATTTATTTATTTTAAAGTACAGTACGAGCTTTTTGAGAGGCCTCATGTTTTCTCTGGCTCTGAACAAATGCCATCACTCAGCACAATCAGCAGCCTGACGGGAACAAAGGACGCCAGCGTTCCCAACCCCTGAATCGCATCCCGGAGGAAAACGTGGAGGAGTGGGACAGGAATCCGAGGAGCACATAACCAGGTGTCGGAAAGGCTACAGGGGTGCCCAGAAGGTGTCTGTGTTTAGTTTAGCACCTTGCATTGTTAGGATAATGCAGGGAATAAAGGCAGAGGACTAGGAAGTTTACCCTGGTTGGGATCCTGCTGGGAGATCCCCAAGAGAGAGGTTCAGAGCGGCTTTTCCTCGCCCCGTGCAAATGCAGGATTGTGCATATCTCTGCAGAAAGAGGGGGTGGTGGCACCTCTGGTGAGCCACAGCCACCTAAGGCACTGAAGTGTTGGGACAAACGAAGCTCAGACAAGCCCTGGGAAGGCAGCTCCACATTCACGTTGCTCTGCTGCTTTGCTGAAATCACAGAATTCAGCTCCCGCTCCTACCTACGCTCCTGCCGGGTGTCTGGTATCAAAGAGCTCTATTTAGAGATGCTGCACTCCAGTTTTCCCATGCTTGTCCCAGCTACAAGCTGTATTAAGTTACTACGGCTTCTCTCACAGCTCAGTCCATGTTTCAGTTCTCCCTTTGCAGCTGTTGACAACAGCCGTGAGAAGGGACCCAGCTGTAACTCTGCACCGCTGACTCACAGGCAGTTTTCTCAGCAGTTTTCTCGGCGGCTCCATCCCTGCAAAAGGACTCACACAGCCAGCAATCGCATCATCTGGGCACCAAAAAGACCCATCTCTCCTCGCCTCCAGACGCCAAGCTGTACCAAACAGCATCTCAGCTGCAAAACTAGGAACAAGTCCCAGTAACCCCAATCCCTGCTACCACACCCGGTGCCAGCACGTGCTCCCCACCAGCCCCGCTCCCCAGAACAACGCTCTGAGCCCTTCCAGCCGAAGCCCTCATCTAACAGGGGCTGTTTTTCCCTAAAGCATCACCAGTTCCTCCCAAGCTGCGCTCAGATGTGACTCTGTGCTGATGGAGGCTTCCAGTGTGGTTTTTAGCTGCCTTGGGAAAGGAAAAAAAGTTGTGCTGCCTAAAACCAGCTGTTTTCCTCTAGCGGAAGGCATGTATTTCGACGCGCTGGCATCGGAACGGTAATAGAAATCAGGGTACAAATCATTCACAAAAGTCCTTCGCTACTTACTGTGGGATCTGTCCAGAGGGAGCACTTTGCGCAGTCCTGGCAGGGAGCCCCGGGCGAGCGGGGGTGTTGGCAGAAGTGGTCGTAGCCGTTAATGGCAGCCCGGCAGAGGTAGCACATCTGAGCACCGCAGCGGCAGGACATGCGGTTGCAACCCTCCGATTTAATTAAGCCGGTCCCACACTTGTGGCATTTTCTAATTCGGGCGGCTGTCATTTTCTCTTCTCTGCAACACAACAGGAGGGAGAAGAAACAGAGACGGGATGTTGGCAGTCACCAACCCACGGTAAAATTACTCTTAGGTTATCCCAGTGATGCTCTAACCCCCCTTCCCCCATGCACCTCTCCCTCTCCTGTGCCATCCCCGCACCCACCGCTGCTCCGAGGAGGTCTGGGCTCAGCTCCACTTGAGCCAACCCATGACAACTCAAGAACAAATTAAGTGAAAGAAAGTCAATCGCTGCCCGCACACTGCAGACCCGATCCTGGTTTCCATGCCAGCCAAATCGCCGCAGCGCCAGGCTCTGGCTTGGGAGGAATTTAAGTCGCAGGGCCAAAGGGCACGGGGATGCTTGACTTGGCTGCGGAGAAATACAGCCCGGGACACAAAGTTCAGGAAAAGCAAACCCTTGGCTGTCATCTGCTAGCGAGTTTTATGTTTGCCTGTTGCTTTGGCTACAGAGTTGCCACGACCATATATACATATATTTTTTCCCCCCAACCCTGGCTGCTGTGCTTGAGATTTATTTGGTTTTTGTTAAATTTAAATCAGTTACTGAAAAATAATCACATCTTTCCCCACAGAGACTGGGCTTTCCCTCTTCTCTTAAGATTCCCT